GGGGGGTGGACATTGGGACAGGGTCCAAATGTTGATCATATAATCAAATGAATTGATGATTCCAATGCAGCTCTTCTGGATGTTTTTTGTCTGTGTATTATTCTGTTAAGTAACTATCTATAAATGAAGTTCACCAACAGGCAGTGGAGTAATATAAAACACTATGTAATGTACAAGTACCTCAAACATGTACTGACCACAGTAAATGTACATGTTTTTTTTCCCCCACCACAGCTTACCTCATATTGATGATCTAACCACTGTACTTTGACATGGCCAAATATTTATTAACATTAATCATACCATGGACTGGTATAAAAATAAAACTGCAGTAAAACCACTGGTGCTAAAAACACTTGATCACCACCATCACCTCCTCATGGTTTGTCTACCTTATAATTCATGTCTTGAGTAATGTGGCGTTTCTGACGTCACTGACCTGTGACTGCCAAAATCTAAAATCAGTTCATCCTGAAGTCCTAGTGAATGTTTGTGTCACACCATCCCTGACCAGGAGAGAACAATATCTCGCACTCACGTATACAAAGGGAATATTATGGAAGTGACAAATCTGATTCTGTTCATACAGACTGATCACTTCCTAGTCCCAGTTTACAAAGACTAAGGATAGGTCACATCTTTAAAAAGACAAAGTCCCTCCACTACCAGCTCAGTGCAGAAACTGCCTAGGACTAAACAAGAGGGACCTGAACATGGATCTAAGATGGACATGAGTGACATTTTAAAAACAGAATGAGGCTTCAGTCTGACAGTGAGTTGTATTGTGTGCATTTTATTGGAAAGCAGATCACCATTAAACAAAATCAGTCAAAGACAAGTTTCTAGTCATTAACTGTACAATGAGGAATGAGAGGAATGTTTCTAATGGGTAGGAATGAATATGAACTAGACGTGGACCTCCACAGAGGCCAGATGCCAGTACAGTATGAAGATGAGTCAGAGGGCAGAGGATTGGGGGGTGGGGCAGGAATGTGACGACCACGGGGTGTGAAGAGCCTGACGTCAGTCCTTCTCCCCTCTAGGCTACGGGCGAAAACAGGAAGTCTCAGGCAAAAGTTTGAGTTGTTTCCAACCGGTGATGGAGGACCGCTGCAGACGCTGGGGCCGCTCAGTAGAGCCAGCTGAAGGCACAGCTCGTGTAGCTGACCAGCTCCTCTTGTTTGAACCACAGGGAAATCTCCTTGTTGGCACTCTCCACTGAGTCACTGCCATGGATGATGTTCCTGTGGAGACAAACAGTTCAGACTGAATGTGGGTCTTGGTGTCATTGTTCCTAACAAGTGGGAGTCTCTGCCTGCTACTGCTGTGTGTGTGTGTGTGTGTGTGTGTGTGTGTGTGTGTGTGTAGGACTCACTTGCTAACGTCGATGCAGAAGTCTCCTCTGATGGTTCCAGGCTTGGACTCGGCGGGGTTGGTCTCGCCCAGCATCACCCTGCCCGTCTTCACTGCACCCTTGCCTTCCCACACCTGAGGACACAAGCAGGACAAGATGAAGACAGCACCTTCCCAGCAGCCTTTGCTGACAAACTGTGGGCGCTCATTTGCAGAAGAGCCAATCAAGCAGAGCACGTTGCAGGCTTCATAATTCATCTCCAGGGTTTCATTTGGATTCAACAGCGCACCACACAGTCTCATGCAATCCGTCATGTGTCGTCTCTTACCATGGCAACCACTGGACCGGAGGTCATGTAGTTGATGAGGGTAGGGAAGAACGGTCTGTCCTTCAGGTCGATGTAGTGCTGCATGAGGAGGTCCTCAGAGGCCTGCAGCAGGGAGACAACATGTCAGTGTCATACACTGAGATCTGAATGATCTATGGCACCAGATGAGTCTGCGTCTGTCTTCACACATTACAACACTTTTCTAGATGCTGCTTTTACCTCGGCTGTAAACTGGGAAACTACTGCTGGACTCATGTCTCCACTGAATCAAGTCAACCTTGTTAAAGTATGAATCCATGACAACTTGCAGCCAAGTCAGTTCTTATTCACAGCAACATTTAAAGGTTTTCCTTGATGGATTAAAGCTGCAGGTTGACAGTGACTTTACAAGAGCCACGAGAAGCTGGAAAGACTACAACAATAGTCGCATTAAGAGCTGTGTATGTTCAGTGAGACAGACATCCTCAGTTAAATGTTTGTTTGCCTTTGTTCACCTGAGCCTAAGGATGCACTGATCAGATCAGTGTGCAGCACAGATACTGATCTTATTAAGCAGATTGGACATCAGCCAGATGGACAGGGACACACACACACTTTGACTAAAGAAAAGAACAATGCCATCAGTTCAGTTCTCAGCAGCTTCCCTGGTGTTTTTCCTCAACAAGCCCCTCCCTCGTCCTGAACTCCACGTCCTGTTCACACGACAACCTCCCAACACAACCCACTCCGATGTTAAGACTCAAGTCACACACGCTGAACAACCAGAAATCCTGTAAGCAGATACCGACCCATCGAACCTGGATCACCACAACAATTCAGCTTTCTAAACAGAAGACTTAAAAACAATGTTTTTTGTTGTTTTAAATCAGCAGAATAAACGCTAATAATACGACATGTATCTCTACAGTCTAAATCTCTCCCACTTCCTGTGGACTCAGCTGATTCAGACACTTCCTGCTGCATCACCGACACCTGCAGTTCACATGCGGGTCAATCTTCACTTCAGTAAAACCAAAGGGGCTTTTTTTGCATCAAGATCCAGAAGATCATTTACACATAAATTCTTGCATAATGAAGGTTTATAAATGAGCCACACGCTCGTGGTGTTAAGTTAGGCAGCGTCTCTGTCACAGATCAGATGTTAGGGGGATCAGGAGACCTGGATCCTCGGTGCTGCTGATTGGTCGTGCCAACGGTCAGGAATAGACAAAGCAGGCTAATCAGCTCACCGGAGGTCTTAACTGTCACTCTGCACACTCAGAAGATCATCTACATAAACTGCAGCAGTAAAAATAAACACCGGTGACCATTATGAAAGCAGCTCATTTCAAACCCTGTGGCTAACATGTGACATTAATATAAATCAACTGTTTACTCACATGGAGCATCTTCAGGCCGACCAGTTTGAAGCCTTTGACCTCAAACCTCTTGATGATCTCTCCGATGATGCCCCTCTGCACGCCATCGGGCTTGATGGCAATGAAAGTGCGTTCCTTCATCTCGGCCATGACTCTGAAAACACAACAGAACAAACAAATGAAGAGATGTTAACCGAGTGAAACCAGCAGGAGGAGAAAAGCCCAGAGTCACTCACACCACTGGTTTGCATTTGGCACAGTCGGCTGTGGGGCCGGCTGCCGAGGGCCCCGACCCCATTGCACAGAGAACGCATAGACGACACAGACCAGGTTAGTGTAGAGTCGACAGTGTGCCAACCTGAACCGCACTGCTGTGACTTTGACTGACAGCCCCGCCCACACAGTAAAGACCTTTATCCCTGCACCGTTTCTACGGAGCCCGGGACAGAGAGTCACCTGCCACAGTCTCTGATCAGTTTTCCCGTGACTTACGACATTCATGAGCTGGATTTCATCAGAAAAACAAAAATGTTAAAGTACTATTTTACAAGTCTCTAATTTCCTAGTAATTTCCAGAAGATTCCAATTTGGAACCATTTGATTTGAGTAAAGTAGTGTTCAATTAATTAATTGTAATTAAATGCAAGTGTAACTTAGATTATTTCAGCTCTTGACTTTGTCTGTCAGAAATAAATTATATAAAAAGGAGTTGGCATTTACAGTTTCACATTAAGAAACAGTAAACAGGAAGTTGAATCTGCTTGAACTCTAGTAAATTATAATTTTTTTTACCATTTCCTGTCATTTAATGAACTTAAATGGTTAACTGAGAACATAATTAGCAGATAAATTAAATGTAAGATTTATTGTGGTTTAAACTTCCTTAATTACAATACAGACCAACACCAAATAAATGAATAAATAATAAAAATAAATAAAATTAAAACAATGAAATTGGTCTCATTTTTTCTGTGCAGCTATACACCTCTGTGAACCTTGGACAACCTCACATTAATGTTTAGGTTCTACTGTATGCATCCCACTCCGAGGCTGCTCACGTGATTCCCACTCAGGAATAAAAAGCACCAGGCCAATGTAAAAATAAATTAACCCCGAGACCTACAGTCTAATATGGAAATAATCCTTAGAGAACGACACGCATGAAGAACCCTCCTACTAACAGAGGCATCAGGGTCCTAAACATTATATAATAGAGGGCACCTGATCCCAACACAGCCTGAATGAGACAAAAAGACTCTGGGTTTCAAACAATACAACATTTCCATTGTTACCATTAAACTCCTGTTTTTACGTTTCCCCTCTGCAGACAGAGGCAACAACTGCAGAAGGCTTTAGCTGCAGGCCAACACACCACTATTGTGCCAACTTCAATGACCTTGCAGTGTAAGAACTGTCCACAGTGGACTCTGGCTGGCGTGTCATGCATTATAAAAATGCAATATGCATTTCAAAATTAAGTCCCATACAATTAAAGAAAAAAAAAAAAACTGCCTGCAGATACCCAATTCAAGACAGTTTTACTACCTTATTATCCTTTGCATTTAAAACTGCAAAAGCAATCAACACTATTATCAATACATGAGAAAATCGAGAATGTGAACGTGCAGTAACTGAAGTATTACAATCTTTCATTACTGAGGTGAAGTGCAGTTGTGGGAGCCGTCTGTGGAGAGGTGGCTGGGCCGAGCTGCAACACAGACACTTCAGTATCATGCAGGAAACACTGCTGATGAGCCTCAGGTCTGTATAGGTGATGTGCAATTACACAGCAGCTTCATCGGCATCCTGCACGGAGTGTGACGACACGTACGCAACGTAAAGGAGCTGCAAATGGACTTCAGCGCTGCTGGTGTAAATGGCGTTTGGTCTTCCGGCGGCTGCGCTTGGCCGCCGGTGTTAAGCCTCCACACACACACCACACCTCTGCTGGTTTCACTCTCCTTAGAAACACCTCATTACCAGAAACCGCTTCCTATGCTAATTGATTTGGCCCGCAGAGCGCTGAGGTGTCCCGGGAACTGTCAGACCAGGCCCGGGCCTTCACAGACAGCCACATGGTCTTTTGTTCCCGGTGCTGCGGGGAAAAAAAAAAAAAAAAAAAAAAAAAAAATCGCTGGCGTCCCGGAGTCGCGGGAAAACGCTTCACTGCACCGACACCGCACCACAACAATATTTAGGTTTTAAACGTACCCCTAGAATTTAAAGTTTAACTGTCGTAGAAACCAAGTTACACTGAAGCTCCATGAAAAAAACCCGGCTAACACTAAGAAATATGAAACAGTGACCGCTAGCTTCAAACTGGTCCGTGTAAACAAGAGCGTAAACGAGAGGAGCAGGTGACTTTCTGTAAGTATGGACGGTACGAGCGGCGTTAAAGATCAGTAACTTTTGATTACCTTGCTCCGGTTCCGGTGGCAGACGGTGGGTACTCTGGTGAACGTGGAAGAAGACCTGCCAAGCCTGCGCAGCCGCGTTTTATCTGTGAGGGCGGAGACAGAAGAACGGCAATTCACCAGGGCCAAAAATAAAAAGCGATTTGCACAGCAGCACGTGACCAAGATCACCGCGCTGCAGCGAGCGGGGTTAAGATCAAATGGCAACCACCGAGGCTGAAAAATGAAGCCAACACGGAAGTACCAAAAACTTTTCTTTATTTTTTTTTATTAACAATCTTTATAACAGTCAAAAAGGCAAAAATCACATTCAGGATAAATGCAGAAACTATAGGAACAACTGAGCAAGCAGTAATAAGAACAGAAATAAAAGGGTTAGGGTTAGAAGAATAAATAAATAAGAAAAAGAAAGAAAAAAAATAAACTTAATAAACAATTATGCATATATGCAAGTAAAAAAGTGCATGTATAAAACATGTTTATGTAATATGTAATATGTTTATTTAATATTTAATTTTATGGTTAAAACAAACCAAGATCACAACACCATGGAGATTTCTTGTACGTGATGTGGGGATAAAAGTGATTCAAACATATCAGTTTGCTAACTAAGAGGTTTATTTTGGCAGCATGTGAATAACTTTGATTCCTTCATGGTCTCTCCACATATGTTCTATGTTGTGATCAACTTGACCAACTTAACTCCTTTGTACAAAAGGTCAGATTTCCTTGATTTATATCCTTTCCATATAACCCTCATGTAACTCAACCTGCAGCCAGTGTTCACCTGTTACAGACAAGAATGTGCCTTCAGTTCAGATCATTGCTCACTAGTCAGCGTTGTGATGGTGGGAAAACAGCATCAGAATTAAGTGAAAGTGTCAGAAATCAAATTGTCATTCTGAGCAAAAAGGGGCTTTCTCAGCATCATATCACAGGGCAGCGTTTACATGAAAACATCCATGCACACATGTAGTGTATACACAGTTTATAGTGTCCCATATCCTCAGGCTATAACTTACAAACTGAAGCTTTTAAGATGATTATTCTTTTATGGTATGAGCAACACACAAGTCATAAAGTCACCAGGCATTGCATAACATAAATGGACATAATCTTTACATGCCATGTGATATTGAGGTCACTGAGAAGAATATCTCTTACCTAAGCACTAGCATTACCTCCTCACTCACTTAACCCAGTGTAGATTAATGGAGTTTTCTGAGCCCGACTTCCGAGCAGTGAGAAAATATGACGTACGTCAGCCTTTACCAACCCTCTGAGATTGAATCTGCTTTGAAACATTGAGTTTCACAGTATGCTTCCTCAGCTCGCTGCCACTGGCTTTAATGAACGCTGAGGCAGCAGCAGTGAGTGAGAGCCAGAGATACAGAGAGTGCTTCTTATTGGAGGCTCTGCTGCCTGTGATTAACTCTGATTATTAGAAAGTGGAAGACAAAGTGTGGAGGTTCACAAAGCTGCTGGTTGACATCACTGAAAGAACTCCTTCAGTGAGATATATGCATGCACATGTATATATACATGCGCGCTCTCTCTCTCTCTCTGCACACATATGCAGACATCTCAACCATCCATCCATAAAAGATAAAATATATTATATACATATACACTTCCCTTTCCTCTCCTCCTCTGTTTCCTCTCCTGTTTCTTTTCCTTTCCTATTCTCCTTTTCTCTCCTCCTCTGTTTCCTCTCCTGGTTGGTTTCCTCTCCTCTCCTCTCCTCTCCTCTCCTCTCCTCATTCTAACACTTCCTCCTTCCTGCACCTCCAGCAGTGGATGCTCCCAGGAAACAAATGGAGAGTTAATCCCTCGACCTAATCTCCTGTGTTCTACTCCCAGTCCTATTTTTACCAGGGCTTAAGGCCAGGATTAAACCATCTCTCTCTCTCCCACTCTGCCTTTACATGTGCTCTTTGGCAGGATCAAACTCCTGACTGTTAAGTGCTATCCTCACCACTCCAGGTGCATGTGTGTGCTGTCTTGTGTGTGCATTGTGTGTGTGTGTGTGTGTGTGTGTGTGTGTGTGTGTGTGTGTGTGTGTGCGTGTGTTTTTACTGCGACGGCCCCTTGGGTGCGCAGCGTGGCACACTGGACAGTGTGGCCGATTGGCATGGCGTCTGTGGTTTTGTGATGCCGCTACTTCTTGTTGGCGCGGTGGAGAGTCGAGTTGGGGATCTCGGCCGGCCGGCGGCGGCCGGGAGCACATGATTCTCTGCAGAAAATATGAGGCACGAAGTGGTTTGTGCTTTAATGAATTGTAATACAAAGTCATTATTTTGCTTTTAGCTGCAGCTCTCTCGGCCTGTGAGAGGGGGAGGCTGATGTAAAATGATGTTGACACAAAAAGCTTTTCATTGCCTCAGATTGCTTCAACAAAGAGCCAAATGAGGGTTTTCAGGTGTCATACTGTAGGTGCTCCCAACCTATGGGCCAGGGTCCACTGGTGGGCCACGAAGGTATTGCAAGTGGGCCGAGAAATCATTTGCAAAATAGCACAATTTTTATAATTAGAAATAAGAATAATGTTTTTAAAATAAAATTATATTAATGAACATGAAAACACCTTTCATTTCTGCACATATATTTTATTTCTCTCATATTAAGATCACGATGAGCCAGTGTTACGATAACCACTCTGCTGCCGGACCACATCGTACACTTGCTTCTGTCTCAGTCTGATCACGTGTTAAAAGATCACACCCATGCCAGAATCAAAATGGAGAGCTGGTTAACAGCAGGAAGAGTTCAAAGGAAAGAGACTCAAGATTATCACTATAAATAAAAGGTGCATTTGGCCTCCACATTGTTACAGGGTCAGACGTGGGCCGCCGACCTATTTGAGTGAGAACCGCTGCTCTAAACCCCCCCTCACCCTGAAGACGGGTGCATGGACGAGGCCGCACACATGCATGAACAGCACCTCGACACACATCTCCACACCTGCTGCCAGCCTCACCTGTCAGCCCACGACTGGAGGTGCAGAGTTACACCAGAGGTCAGTGACACAGATGAAGGAGTGTAATTCTGCTGGATCCACGTTTATGAAGCCCGTAGATCTCTGCAGCCCACAGGGGATTATAACACAGCTGAGAACCAGTGCTGCAATAAAACATGCAGCGCTTCAGGAGTCCATACGTACGACAAGCCCATACTGTCTCTGACTGTGTGAGTGTATAAGCAGATAACCTCCCCCCCATGAATCACAAAGTTTTCTGATTTATGATATAAAGAATTTACAGATCTAACCACACACACACACACACACACACACACACACACACACACACACACACATGCTCTCATCCCTCTCCAGAACTCTGTTACTTCTCTCACACCTGTGCTCATGACTCGACGCTGCAGAAAGCGGCTGAATAATTGATGCTGTGTGTGTGTGTGTGTGTGTGTGTGTGTGTATGTGTGTGTGTGTGTGTGTGTGTGAGGCCCAGACTAAAACCATCTCTGATTGTCAGAGCTGCGTTTCAGGATGAAAAGCTCTGAACTTTAATGCAGTCGGGGGGTCCACACAGGAAAGGCAGGCCTGGGTCAGCCAATGGCAGCTCTCGCTTTTCAGCCAGCCTAAAACAAGATGGCCACTTTGGCCTTGACTGAAATATCTCAACAATTAATCAAAGCTTCAGAGATTTGTGAGATGCTCATAAAGTGCGGTGAAATGTGGGGGTGGTATACTCAAGATAATATGCTAAAAGGTTAATGTGCAATATGACAATGAGAATCAAAATAATTGATATTGACATTGTAGGTAATGTACAGTAGGTCAGCATGCTACTGTTAGCATGAATAGCATGGCTGTAGTAACTCTCAGTCTTCTCAAAGTCACTTTATTCATGCAGTACAGTTTTATTAGTTAGTCCTCAACATCAAAGTCAGAGACTCGTCAGTATTTAACGACTCGATACGTGACCTCTGCTCATCTAATTAAAATGTTGTTAAATATTATCGCCTTATGAAGTGGTCACCTTATAAACGGGAGTCGTTATAACTATGAAGAACTTCTTAGAGTCAGATGAGCCCAACACTCCTGATGATGATGATGATGATGTCAACATATGCTCTCCACCTGCATCACGACTCCCTGTACCATCAGTGTGGGATTATGTTTCTGAAAGATTATGGGGCCATCCATATAATCCTGGTATTAACTCCAGATGAAAAAACATATATATACATATATATTATCATTAATGCTTCATGCAGAATTTAAACTCTCTCTTGACTGTCAAAGTGTAACATGTGATTCAGATTCACTTTCATCAGATCTCAACACAGCTGAGCTGTGGTGCATATCTTAAATTAGACTTGATTTAAAGCTCCTCCAGTGTAAAGGTCTGTGTCCATGTGTAGTGTGATTATAGATCAGCTCTAGCTTCTATATTAATACTGTGAAAGTATCAAAGCCTCAGTCCACAGAGAAATGCACACAGCCTGTATTCAGAAACTGAGCCTTAAAACCAGCCGTCAGGACTTCTGGAACTTTGTGATGTCACAACAAAGCAGTCACCAAGCCCCGCCCACCTGGACCCACCATCCATTGGTTTCTCTGAGTGTTTTACCTGAAATCTGCTATATTTTTTTGGATCACTCAGAAAACAGTCAACCCTTTAAAGGGTAAATGATTGGCCTTCATTTAAACCCAGGTGTGAGTCTGTCTAACATAGGTCACTTATAGGTGTCAATGGGTTAAACTGTAGACTTTACTTTAGCATCATGGCGGCTAAAAACATCACAGACAGACAGAAACTGGAATAGTCACCTGACTAAGGACTCACAGATTCAGGGAATATATACATAATCTATATTATTAAATTTCTTTAATTAAAAGGTCACTGCAGGTCACTCAGGACCACATACACACTAGAGGGACTTCATTTTAATGATAAAGCCCTGTTTAGACTTAATAAAGATAATGTGAAGCTGCTGCCACACCCTGCCACAGCCAACATCAAAGCACATCAACATCAACATAGAGAAACCATCCGCAGTGTTATAGTTCCAATCACCCACCACAGGGGGGCAGTGTGGCAGCACACAGGGAGCTCCTGAGCCAG